GATAATTTGTTCTATTGTACCACGAGAGAGAGAGATGTCTCAGCTATAATATCATCATAAGTTGAATGTGGATCATTGTTGATAACCTGTCGTACTAATTCAATATTTTCATCTGTAAGCACGGAAACGCTTTACCCACTCTGCAACTGTTGGATATGATGGAGCCTTGGGTCCCAAAGCTGTTGCAAGTTCTTCGTGAATTGTCTTTGGATTTATCCCCAAAATAGTTTGAATTTTTATATAATATCGATTGTATTCATTATCCATTTTTGAAAATTTTTTTTTAGTTCGAATTAAAGTTTATCGAAAAAAATACTATAACTAAATCTAAAAGAGATTTACTATATATACTATTATAGATAAGACATTCCACTATTTATTCATGCACAACACTCTTCGATATTAATTGGTTTATAAAATTGCCAATAGCAATCTGGGAACTTTTTTTACGACCTAAGTACAAAAAGGGCAGTTTTGTGGGCGTAAGTTACTATGACTAATTTTATTATCAAATCTTCTCTTGTGGAACCATGAAGATAATCAAAAATTTCTGTACTGTAGTAGATTTTTCTTCTTCATCTCACGTTTTATTTCACATAAAGATGTCTAGCTCTGACACTCAATTATTCTCGACTCTTCCTGAATCTTGCTGCTCTCCATCCAGCACGAATCTCTATTCAATACCGGTAACATCTGCTAGTATGAAGCAGCAATTTAGTACCGCAGACTTAGTAATTGAGGAGTGTTCTGCATCAATAAATGCAGATCAAATTGAAAATATTTCACTTGTTCGAGCAATTCAGAAACTGCTTGGACATAAATCAGATTTCGTAATCGTGTTTGTGCTAATTGCTGGTTCCTTTCATCGACACAAGCATTGGAAGCATAAATAGTAAGTGATTACGAAAAACGTTTGATCTTTCCCCGAAAAATTGATTAAGGACATCCTTGCCTTTCCTGATCCAACATTTTCAGCATTTATTTATTTAGGTCATTTAGTAGCCTAAAGTATCCTCTGCTTACTCAGCATATTGCGAAGTTTAAAAATTGTCCAAAAAGGTTTACAAGGGACAAGAACATCTAACATAAAAATAGAGGATGCTCAACCTGTTTTACGCGTTTTTTCGCAATTCATATGTTAAGACGAAAGCGATGAATTTCTCATTTTGCTCCGAAATGGTAAACGGAAACGAGCTGCAACTCTTTCAGCGACGGATGACAAAATTGGTTGGCCTATGCTTTTTTGTTTGAAAAGATATTTTTCAGAGAAATGCTGTAGTTTTTGAAAAATTTGTACCAATCGAAAAATACCGAAAAGCAAAACAGCTTCTGCTTTCAATATTTAGCTTCTTTTATTAGAAAGGAACAATATTTTTCGAAGAGAAAGAACGAATTTTTGAATAATGATAGAAAAATAAGTTCGCTTCGAACCATGTTTAGCCTTTTGACTCCTATATCTCAAACAAGAAAGGATCGTGGAATTTAAAATTTATGATAACTTTTGCTCTACTAGTCGAGATCTATCTTGCCTGAAAGTCTCAGAATCATTCATCGTGATGTTCATCAGAAACTCTGAGAAGAAAGGGATGACCTTAAATCAGGAAAACAAAATCGCGCCACTTCGGGCCTAGTGGGTCAAACGAGATGGCGGGCGAGCCGGGACGAGAATTTGCACCTCAAGATTCATTCCGGGTGGGCCGGACCGGCAAAAACATGTGGCCCATTCGGGGCCCTGCTACTTAGATACTCCAATCCATTCGCAGTCATTTCCATCTATTCCTGACCATTCTCAGCCATTCCCATTCATTCCCGGCCATTCCCGGCCATTCCCGGCCATTCTCAGTCATTCCCGGCCATTCCCGGCCATTCTCAGCCATTTCCGGCCATTCCCGGCCATTCTCAGTCACTCCCAGTCATTCGAAATGCCCGAATAGAGATTTTCCCCCTTCGCTTACAACTATAACCTTAAACTATACCCTTATTACTATATTCTTATATCTATACTCTTAAAACTATACCCTTATTACTATATTCTTATATCTATACTCTTAAAACTATACCCTTATTACTATATTCTTATATCTATACCCTTACAACTATACCCTTATTTGTATATTTCCTAAAAAAGTATGTTCCCGGGAAAACTTTAAAGCCTTTCCGATTTTGGCACTGTCTGAAAACCTTTCAGAGTTTCCGAATATTGGTGCTCAAAGTCTTCTGAACTGAAACAAATAGTTACAGTACTTTTTCACAAAGCAATATCAGAAACTGCAAAACGGTTTCAAAGCTCACCAACCTTGGAATGCAATGAAGGATCTGAAAAATATCGGCAATCACACAGATGTCGAACTCATGTCGTCTATCATAAAAACATCAAAATGACACATCGCTATTTCTCGAATACTGATATGTAACTTAGCCATTCGCTGAGATACATTTGAGGAATCTAAAAGACAGGAAAAATTAATATTAGGTTTTGAAATTTTTAATGCAACACCCTTTGAATAAAATTCATTCCAAGAACCTAAAAGAGAAAAAAATCGATATTCCTATATAACTTTTTTATTCTTAAATGAAGCGTATTATTTGAATAAAACCTATTTGAAGAATCTAAAACAAACAATGAAAACTTAATATAATTTTCTAATTCTGGCATACAATTTACTGATTGGGCAAAATGTATTAAAAGAATCTAGAAGAAAAAGAAATCTTGATATTAGCTGTTGATTCTTCAATGTGAATTATCCTTGGAATGATACAATTGTAAAAAGCTACACGAAAAAAAAAGAAATTTTGATATTAGGTTTGTATTCTGAAATGAAACTTACCGTTTGGATGCAATCTATTTGAAGAATTTCGAAAAAAGAGAAATTGCTATAGGTTTTTATTGTTCGATCCTGTGATTTTAAGAAAAAATCAGTGATAATGATCATCTGAAACCAGAAGTTTGTGGTGTTCTCAATCACTACAACCTTTAAAAACTCTTATGGCTATTTTTAACCGTTTTTTCTTGAAATTTAACGATACAAGTTAGCTTTAGAGAGTAGCCTTATAGCTACGTTCT